CAACCAGAAAACTGTGCATGAGAGAGAACAGTTTGCAAGAAACGTACTTCCTCCATTCAAAATTATAAAACTAAGCTGGAAAGCCTTTTGCTCTTTCAAGGTATGACATGGAAAGATGGATTGCATAAAAATGATCCAGAAGATGTGTATACAGTAAAAGAAAGAAGCACAATGCAGGTTTCTCCTTAATCACTGAAAATCTGAACTGCTAAAAGAGAATTCAGCAAAAAAAATATCTCTACTAATACTGCCTCTCTTGTGCAAGTTATCACTTCTTTTACTAATTACATAGCAAATTAATTTTTTTATTCATTTTTACCCAACATTTTTCCTTAAAAAGGACCCAAGGCAACTTATATCATTGAAAGCCAATATTTAAAGCTAAAAACAATGAGTTGAGAACAATGGTTTACATAGTTAAAATGCCAATATTTAAAGCTAAGAACAATAAGTACAAAGAGGCAGCTTACATCATCAAAAGATAATATTAAAGCTAAAACAATAAATATGAAAATACTAAAAAAGGAATAAACAAATACCACTGGAAGATGATAAACACAAGTAATACTAAAAATCAAGTCAGAGCAGTAATGCATAAAAATCCATCTAAAAGTCACTCTTGTAACCAGCCACATAGCCTGTCACTCATGTAGGCAGTCACTGAGAGAAAGCTTGACTGAAGAGCAAGTTCTTTGCCTGCTTTCAGAAGGACAGCAAAGATGGGGACAGTCTGACCTTCTATGGGAGAGAGTTCCAAAGTCTGGGAGCAGCAACAGAGAAGGCTCTCTACTGTGTCCCCATCCGATGGTGGGACTGAAAGAAAGGCCTCTCCTGATGATTTTAACACCCAAGCTGCTTCCAAGTGGGAGACACAGTCTTTGAGATAGCTTGGACCCATGCCATTTAGGACTTTACAGGTTAAATCCAGCACTTTGAATTGTGCCCGGGAACTGATTGGCAGCCAGTGCTGCTGCTGTAACGGTACGATTATGCGATCCCTGTAACCAGCTCCAGTTAGCAATCTAACTGTTGCATTTTGGACCCACTGAAGTTTCCTGACACTTTCCATCACCAGCCCAACACAGAGCAAGTTACAGTAATTATGTTCAAAAAGCAGGCCTCTTCAGATCAATTCACATGTGGGCTCAGAACAGAGCCAACATCACACCTTTTAAGAAGCCAGCACCTATCTCACATTTTGTAACACACTTGAAAATGTCTTAATACTTCATTGAGGAGGTGACACTGGCTGCAGTTCCCTGTTTGAGCCTCTCTTGTAGCAAACCCAGATTTACTCCTGCAGCATGTAAAGCGGCTGGTATATTCTTAAGAAACAAATTGAATCACTAACATGCCATGTTTTATACACACCCTTCATAAACAAAGCATATTACTGGGTGCCTTAATGAGTTCTTCCATTTAAGTGGAAGATTATATTGTTCTGATGCAAGACTTCATTACCGCTGGCATTTTCATCTATGGTCCTATGTAGAATTCAAATGCTTAGTAAGGCATGAATCACATCACTGACTGCAAGAATATGTCTAAAGGACAACTATTACATACCCTCCAGAATTATATAAAAGTAAAAGCTAGAAATAATTATTACTTTGCTCTTATACAGCCTTTGTTTCTTAGGAGTAAACACAGTGATTTGCCTAATGAAAGCTTGATGGCAAAGGGAGGGACCTGGGAAAGTTGTTGTATCAAGCTCATGATTTCAAATCTTTTTGGAGTAATTAAGGTAGATAAAAGCTCATTCTACATATAGAAGAAAAAAGACACTAATTTATTAAAATTTCAAGGCACACACCCAGCCTGAAAGGCAAGTTAATGTTCCCGTTGGCAGGATAATGTTGTTGGTGAGTCAAGATAGTCTTCCATTGTTTTTGCTCAGAGATCATTGCTAGAGCTCACTTGCCCACACTATATAGGCTATTACTTCTGTTAATATAACCTAAAACAGCATTGGTCTTTTTTGCAGACATATTACATTGTTGGTTATATTCAGCTTGTGATCTATAACAATTCCAAGATCCTTCTCTCATGTAATATTAGTGAGCCAAATATCCCCCATCTTGTAACTTGCATTTCGGGTTTTTCCCCCAGGCATAAAACTTTGCACACATCCCTGTTAAATTTCATTCTGTACTTTTCAACCCAGTGCTTGAGCCTATCAAGATATTTTTTTAAATTTTTTTTGTCTCCCAGGCATTTATGTGTTCCACCAAATTTTCTGTCATCTGCAAATCTGATAAGCATTCTCTGCACACACCCAATACAAGTGATCTGATGGTAGTTCTATCCAGCCCATACTTAGTTAGCTTGCTATTAGACTATCATGGGGCACTTTGTCAAAAAGCTTTACTGAAGTAAAGAGATACTACATTTACAGCATTCCCACCATTTACCAGGAAGGTTACCCAATCAAAAAATGAGATAAGTTTAGTCTGGCAGCATTTATTCTTGACAAATCCACGTTGGTTTCTAATTATTACTGCACTGTTTTCAAGATGCTTCCATAGTGACCACTTTGTAATCTGTTCCAGAATTTTCCCTGGAATTCCCTGTAGACCAGTCAGGATTACTGGTTTTCTTGAAATCATGGAGAATGGGTGAAATGCTAAATGATAGGAAGCTGGCCAATGTTGTCCCTATCTTCAAAGGGACAGTTCCCAGGTTCCTCCTTTTTAAAGATAGGGACAATGTTAGCCATCTTCCTATCATCCAGCACTTTACCCATTCTCCATGATTTCAAGAAAATAATAGACTCTGGTTCTGAAAGTTCTTCAATACTCTTAGATGCAGTTCATCCAGCCCTTGAGATCTGAACTCATTTGAAGTAATAAGGTTTTCCTTGACTATTTGTTTATCAGTCTCAAGCCGCAATCCTGTTCCCTCCACTTGTAGTTCTCATTTGCATGGAGGATCATAGACTGTCTTTTGGGAAAAGACTGAGCTAAAGTATTAATTAAGCATTTCTGCCTTTTTTTGTCATCTGTAATCATTTTTCCATCGCCACGGAGTAGCTTAGCCACTATTTCTTTTCTCTGTCTTTTGCTATGCAAGTATCTGAAGAATGCTTTTTATTGTTTTCAGTGTCTCCTGCTAACCTCAGCTCATTCTCAGCTTTTGCCTTCCTAACACAAGTGTTGCAATTCTTTGCCACTTGTCTATATACTTCCTTTGCCTTCCTTCTACTCCCTAAATGTGCTCTTTCTTATTTTCAGTTCTTCTCTGAGCTTTTCCTGTCTTCCACCATTTTTTCTTATCAGAATTGTTTGCAGTTGTGGTTTAGAAATTTCTTTTGAAGAAACCCCCAAATATCTTGGACTCCTTTCCCTGTTAGGATCTCCTGCCATAGGACCTTACTCACCATTGTTCGGAGTTTATTAAAATGGGCTTTCCTAATATCCAGCATAGAAGTATGGCTACACTCTGCTTTTCTTTCCTTTGAAATAAAGAACTCAAGTAGAATGTCATCACCTTCCCCAGAATTCTCCTTGCTGCTATTTCTTCCACCAAGTCATCTCTATTGGTTAGAATCAAATAAGGACAGCTACTCTAGTTTCTTCTCCACTTTTTGTAGGATAAAATTATCAGTACAACAAGCCAGGAATTTATTGGAAGGGCCATATTTGGCAGAATTTGCCACCCAGCACATATCAGGATAATTCAGTATTACACCTGCACTCTTAAATGATGTGATTAAAGATAGTCTTGGAGGAAAAATCTATCACTACTAAAAATTTCCTGTTGTTGACAATTTGTCTTTTTAAAAAAAAAAAAACCTGCTTCTTCAGGCTAGATATACTCCTTAGCCTATTTGGCTGCCTGAAATAAAAGGTGTTCAACTGTTAAGTGCATAAAGAACTTTGCAATGGGAAACTACAACAAATTACACACAAGCAGGGTGCTACAGCAAAGAGCTGCATTGCAATATGCTTCTATTTAGGTTCACTCAATTCTGGGTTCTGGTTTTCATCCAGTCAGTAATCCATGCCTAAGGAGCATGTTCACTTTTGCCTCTATTGGATATAGTGGGAGTGAACAGACTTTTGCCTAGTCCCAGCTACATTAAGCCTTAGATTTCTCCAAGCTACATTAAATCCTTGGATTCCTCTATTAATTTCTTTGTGAAGTTCTTATACCCATCATGAGGCTCCTTTAAAAAAACTTAACAAGCATTTTTGAAAAATATGAAACAGGAATACCCTATCAAGGGAATAAAATGGCTTTCCACTTTTTATCTGTACACTTTTTAAAAAACATTTCCAGTCATTCCATTCCATTATTCCTCTCCCATCCAGTTTTGAGTTTTCTCTTCCAGACAACATGCTGGCCTCCTAATCCTGTCACAGCGCTGTTGAAAGGAGTAGGCATTACACATCTTCAGGGTTCTGAAAACACATTTGTTTCCAAGCAAGGATGGGAAATGTGCAGTCCTTCAGATGCTATTGGACTGAAACTCTCATCAGTTATCACCATGTTTGGGGAGCTCACAGGAGTTTGAATCCAATGGTATCTGAAGGCCTGAGTTTTTCCCCCTGGCTTAGGGGAACTCAATAACCAATTCACAAGTGTGGAAATCCAAAGCAACTCCCAGAAACCCTAGCCAACACAGCTAGTGATGTAGACATTTGGGAACTACAGTTCAAGAACACTTGGGTTACCAAAGGTTGACAGTCACTGACCTAAGGAGTTCTCTTGACATTTGCACAACTACCATCACTACATAATTTCACACAGAGAGACACATAGACCTAAATTACACAAATCACACTTGCAAGAAGGGGGAAGGGGGAAAACGTAGTGTATCCTTTCACTACATTTTGCAGCAAAAGTGCTAAAATTTTCTTGACTAAATATAACCACAAAATGAAGCAGACTGCTCTGGAGGCCAAATGGTTGCTCCATGTCCTATAAAATGAATAAAACAACTCAATGGCATGAAATGTTCTGAAGTATATATAAAACCTAGACAGAAACGCAGAATATACCTCAAGCCCAGGTGAAAAGTTCAATGACTCCAGTGGCCTCTTCCTTCTTGGCCCAATAGCTGCCAGAGCTGCACGATTAGCTTCCCTTTGTTGCATTTGTGCAAACTCTAACTGCTGCATCTAATTTAAGAGAAAAGAAAGTTAGGAAAAGGTTAGACCTCGGTACTGTAAGAGATAAATTACTGCCACAGGCAGGGGTTTTTCCACAAGATATCAAGAAGGATTCCAGGTCCTCCACCTATTAGGTATGATTAGCAATTCGGCACATCTTTTAACCTAGTGTTAAAATAAATTTGATCTCCTATTTGCTGACATAAAGATTACTACATTGCTTCATATTTTTCTACTCTATACCAATGAAGAGATCTATGTGTGCCACCTAATGCAACAAATAGATCTATGTGTGCCACCTAAGGTATGATCTGCAGGGATTATCTGTGGGCAATGTTTTTGCCTATAGAGGAAACAGACTACAACTGTGCACATTTTTATTCTTGGTCTACAACTCCCAGAATTTCCCCAGGCAGAATGGCCAGTTGCCATGCAAAATGTAGAATTCTGGATGTTAAAGTCGAAGAACACTTTGAATGCAAAAGAATTCCCTTTGAATAAAAATGAGTATCTTGGCATCTTTGTCATGCCAGATCTGCAAACTACACCATGCCTTGCTAGCAGTCTGTCTTCAAGAGTGATGAGAATCACACCTGGGCCTCCATCTTTTAAAAAACTATTTGACTCTTCTCTTGTCCCCAAATTTTATATCCCTTTCCCCTGATTAAGAGTTCTGGAGAACTAAAAACCTCATCTTGCATGCAACTTTTTAGGAATTTAACAAAAATATTACTTTAACTAGGACTTTTTTTAAAAAAAAAATCAGTAATTTACTCTTCAAAAATAATGATGAAGTGTTTTATTTTAACAAATCTGTGGCTACATTCAGTGAAAAACATCACTTTCAAAATACAGATTTTATAGAACCGAGCTTTACATCTACTCAGATAATAATTTGGTGTCATCAAATCAATTGCTACTTATAGCAACCCTTTCCAGACTTTTCTAGATATGCAGTACTCAGAAATAATTTACCATTCCCTTTCTTTGAGGGCACTCTGATATATTATTGGTTTCCCAAGGCCACATGGGCTCATGCTTCTCCTACAGGGCACAGTGGGGAATCAAACTCCCAAACTCTCGCTCCACAGCTAGGTGCTCCAGCTCACTGAGCCAGCCAGCCAGTTACACCTAACCTGGGAGGACTTATATAAACATTTAAGTTTAGCTTTTCCTTTGAACTAACAAGAGATACTGTACATGTAAACACATGTACCTAATTCCCATTCTGGCTTTCATTTGTAGGAGATTTAAATGGCCAAGATACCACAGGTAGGAGGTCTGAGCTCATTTGCAGGCAAGGCTGTATCTCTTCCAATGCCAGATCACACATGCTTACATGCATGCCATTTGAGACCTCTGAAAAATGACAGCCAGATGTATGAGCCAACTCCATTAAAAAGCATTATGTTGTAGGCAGTGTCAGGAGAAAGACAAGTTCCAAGATGTTAGATCTGCTATGGCCAATTCACACAGATGAGTTGGTTCACATTGCAGACAATGGCAAGCATGTACATATGAGCCAGCCATTATATACCTTTCACTTCTGAGTGAGTGGTAAACCATTAGTTACAACTGTTTATGGTACAGGTGTGTTGCTCATCCTTGAACCAGAGGAAACAATCAATGGCCCACCAAGTCTCAGACTAGTATCTTAAACTTCTCAACATTACTCAGAAGCAGACAGTCTTCAAATCAGAAGCCAGCCAGAAAACATTTCAAACCCATTTTCCCTTCTTCGATTTTTCCATCTGCTCCAAGTACAAAGATTTTCTTTTTTAAAAAACTGAGTAAAGATCAAATTGCTATGAAAACATCGCAGAAATGGTAAAATGGCCTTTGTTGCTGCTGGCCTTTTTAATAATAATATATAAGTTTTTTTTTTTTTAAGTCTGGTCTTGAAGCAGTCAGGAGTTTCTAGGTGACACAATAACCATTTTAGTTAATCTGACCTGAAGCACAAATAAAGTAGAGGCACATTTTTAAAGCCCTTCCCAATACTGAAATGGCATTTGCAGCACAGCTGTAATCACATGAAGCAATTTTTAAGAAGAGGAAACTTCTTTTCTTAAAACTGAGCAGAGAACAAATTTCCTTTCCATCTCACAGAAATTGGATTTTTCACTTTGTATAAAGTTTACACCACCACCCACATCCAACACCGTTTCAGTATGAAAGAAAAAATTACATACTTCAATTGACAATGGTGCGTGTGTAAAATCACCAATCAGAACAAGGGTACTGATTTGCCACATAACGGATGAAAAACATGAGTCACACGTTACCACTTTTGAATAGACCAAGAGGAGAAGCCTGTTCCCACTCCAACAACAATTAGATTATTCACTGGACAAATCTCTTGGTGCATTCATTTGCCCCCTACCTCTACCAGCCACCCCTTCAACAGCAGCAACCATTTTTTGTGCTGCTGTTTCCTTCCATCATACTGCTCAGCCAATAACCTCTAGTCTGTAGAGGTGCCATTGTGTTGGCTCTCTTAATATGAATCCTCCTTGTTGAGTAAATATCTGTATTATACCACCGAACTCGTCATGCAAAATTTGGTTGGTACCTCATCCTCTGTACATTCCCACTGTAGTCTAAGAGATTTTTGACGAGATCCAAGGATCTTCCATTTCTAATTAGTAAACTTTTCCATATTTAATTGACTTAACACCACCTGCATACCTTGCCTTGAAAACATAAGTCCACCCAATTGTATCCTTCCCCTCTAGTATCTTTCACTATATGCTTGCATGTTACATTTTCCACTATTCTTTCAACCCGATTCTGAAGACTATCCTAATCAACAGCTATATATCTAAAGGCCCAGATTCTCTCCTTTCAACATTGCAAGGCCTAAAGAGGAAAGAACAGTTAAATCTAAAAAAGCTTGTGAACTTCCAATCCTATCCAAAGGTGCAAGAGCTGTTTTAAGATGGTTGGCCTTTCAATTCACACAGAAGCAGATCCAGCCATCAAAGCTGGCAACAGTGCTACAGGGTTGTTGCTGCTGCTATGTGCAGTCAAGTCACCCTGATTTATGGCAACCCTATGTATGAGCAATTTCCAAAACATCCTTTCTTCAACAGCCCTGCTCAACTCCTAAAAATTCAATCCTGTGGTTTTCCTTAGGAAGTAAATCCATCTTGTACTTGGTCTTCCTTTTTTCCTATTGCCTTCAATCAGCATTATTGTCTTTTCCAGAGAATCCTGCCTTCTTATGATGCTCCCAAAGTAGGACAGCCTCAGTTTCCATCATTTCTGCCTTCAAAGATAGTTCAGGCTTGATTTTCTCCAACACCCACTTGTTCATCTTTCTGGCAGGCCAAGGGTATCAGCAATGTTTTCCTTCTCCACCATAATAAATTATTTTCCTGTTAGCTTTCTTAACTGTCCAGCTTTCACACCCATACAAGGTGACTGGGAATGCATGAGTGTTGATGATCTTCGTCTACAGTTTCATCTATACTGACACATCCTTACAATGGATAATCTCTTCTAGTTCCTTCATTACTGTCCTTCCGAATCTCAGTCTGCTTCTGATTTCATGGGCAGTGTCTCTATTTGGATTGACGAATGAACCAAGGGATACAAAATCACTATTTCAATTTCTTCACTGTCATAATTAAAGTTATACAGTTCTTCTGTAGTCATGCCTTTTGTCTTAACATTCAGCTGCAGTCCTGCTCTGGCACCATTAAAATTGTGTCATCTGTATATCTTAAATTATTGGTATTTCTTCCACTAATTTTAATTACTCCTTCATTTGAATCTAGTCTGTACAATATGTCCTCTGAACAGACTGAACAGATAAGTAGATAAAGTGCCCCCTTGTCTAACAACTTTGCCTACAGGAAATCATTCTGTCTCCCCATATTCAGTCCTAATTGTAGCTTGTCCACAATTCAAATTACATGTCAGGACAATCAGGTGCTGAGGCACACCCATTTCATTCAGCTTGTGCACAGCTTTGAGGAGAAGCTCGTGTCCCCTTTCAGAGGGATGCTGAAAAGGCAGCAGAGGCAGCTAACTATGGAGAGATTCCTCACAAAGAGGCCAAGACAGGAAGAGGAACCTGCTCCTTCCACCAGTGGTGCCCAGTTGCCTTCTTCCTCCCCCTCCTCCTCCTCCTAGAAGACTGCTGCTGTGATGTGGGGACAGTTCTATGTGCCTCCAGGTCCCTGCATTGAACACTGGTCTGGATGGTTTAGAGGCTTCAGCCTCACTTGTTCACTTTAAAAATGTTACTGCACTGTACTGTAATGTTTACTGTACTGTACAATGTTAAAATGTTAAAAGTATGTCCTTAAAAATTTATGTAATGTTTCTTTATGTTTGTTCACTTTATGAAGACTTTCTGTATGTTGATGCACTTTCTAAAGAGTTTTTTGTACAATCCAATGTTCCTGCCTCATGTTTGCTGTCTTTAAAATGTTTTTCTGTTATTTATAAAGTTAACATTTATAAACCTAAAGTTCCTGCCTCATGTCTGCTGTTTTTAAAATGTTTGTTATTTATAAAGTTAAAGTTTACTGTTTAAAATGTTTGAAATCACTTGCACAGTATTTATGATGTTAAAGTGCACTTAATAAACCCTTTGTTAACCAAATTTGACTTTGTTCTGACTCTTTTTTAATTTGTTGTTGAATTTTTTTTCCCCATTGAGATGCATTGAATAGGTTTCAATCATTTCAATGTGGGAACTGCGTTTCGCTTAGCGATGTTTCCTATGGCGATTTTCACTTAAGGACAGCAATTCGTTCCTATTGGAACGGATTATCCGGTTTTCAATGCATTTCAATGGCAAACCACGTGTCACTTAGCAATGTTTTCCCATAGCAATGATTTTTTTGGAACCAACTAACATCGTTAAGCGAGGCACCACTGTACTTTCTTATGATCTACACAGCTGAAAGCTTTGCTGTAGTCTATAAAGGACAATCTGATCTTTGGAAATTCTTTGGGGCTTTCCAGTAGCCAGCAGATATTTGCAATATGATCTCAGG